GAAACCTAAGCCCTAAACCCAAACCTCAAACTCCCCAAAAGAACCTAAACCCGAGACTGCGACCCTCCAAAACCCTGAATTCTTACCGGGTCCTGAGGACCTTTCGGGTCCTTAGGGTCCTTCGGGTTTGGGGTGTAGCGTTTAGGGTTTGGGGTCTAGGGGTTTAAGGGTCTGGGGTACAGTCCATAAGGTTTATAGGGTCCTCCTCTATGTCAACCTTGGGCTTGGTAACCGGGTTTAGGGTTTAGGGCGCAGGGTTTTAGGGTTTAGGGTTTAGGGTTTAGGGTTTAGGGTTTGGGGCTTGGGGCTTGGGGTTTAGGGTTTAGGGTTTAGGGTTTAGGGTTGAAAGAGATGAAAACCCTCGGGTCCGTCCTGATGTCTCGTAGCCACAGGAAGGCTGTGCCAGCTGGTGAGCTCTTGGTACAGAAGGGGTCCTGGGTTCATGTAGTGTTTAGGGTTTAGGGTTTAGGGTTTAGGGTTTAGGGTTTAGGGTTTAGGGTTTAGGGTTTAGGGTTTAGGGTTTAGGGTTTAGGGTTTAGGGTTTAGGGTTTAGGGGGTCATACTCCCCTAAAGGACCTCAGAACCCCAACGCTGAAGCCCCAAACCCTCAATCTCTAAGGCCCCCAAGCCCTAAAGCCTAAAGCCCTCTCAAGCTCGGAACTCGAACCTCCCAAGCCCTAAACCCTAAACCCTAAACCCTAAACCCTAAACCCTGGTAGGCTGGTCTCTCCAAAAAAACCCCAAGGTTGACTCTCAAAGGTAGCTTCAGGGAGCCTCAAACGGTGCACCCCTTTGTAAACCCTCTAAGGTTTAGGGGTTCGGGTTGAAGGGCTATGACCCATAACCCTAAACCCTAAACCCTAAACCGCTAAGCCGCTAAAACTCTAAGGTTTTAGGTTTAGGGTCGAAGAGCTTGGGGGCACATTTCTAGAGCGCTCTACTTGGAGGTTCATGGTACTTGCCAACCAATGATAACTGTACTTATAGCCCACTTATAAGCCCCGTAAGTGCCCTAATATGGTTAAAAGTACAGTTCTAAGTACAGTTATAATTGGTTAGTAAGTACCATGAACCTCCAAGTAGCAAGGTGAAGGGCCAAAATTCGGGCTTTGCGTTGAACGTCCGGTCATATCTGACTTGAAGGCTCATGGGAAAAAGGTGCTTGAACTATGGGCTTACGGGTAGGGTAACTGAAGCTATATGTAGCTTGTTTTCAACCTACTCAAAGTACCGATAGCCCTGCTGATAATCACGCCCTAAACCCAAAACCCCTACACCCTAAACCCAGCAAACTGCAGTTCTGAAGGGCTTGTTCAAGGGCTTCAGGCAGAGTTTAGGGTCAGGGTTCAGGGATTTGGGGTTTAGGGTTTGGGGTTCGGGTTTAGGGATTGGCGTTTAGGGTTTAGGGTTCAGGGTTCAAGGGTCTAGGGCTAGGGATTTCAGGTCTACTTGTCGACGCTCTCCCCGGTGGTCTTGACAACAAACCCCCAAGAGCAGCCTGAAAATAATCTCTAGAGGAGTTTCTCACAGGATCCCGACAAACCCTGGACCCCTAAACCCCTAAACCCCTCAACCCCTAAACCCTACATCCCTAAATCCCGAAATCCCGAAACCCTAAACCCTAAACCCTAAACCCTCCTATTAGCCCGGTGTTGCTTTTTGCTGGGGAGGGGGGGGGAGCGGGCACCCCTTCTGTACCCCTTATATACCCTAGGACCCATACATCAGAACCCTTGAAAGGAGGTAAGGGACTGTATGAAGGGCCCACGTAACTACCTCATATGAAAGGAGGCACCCTTGGGGTTAGGTGGGGTTTCGGGTTTGGGGTTGAGGGTTGAGGTTTTTTAACGCGGCGTTTACTGTTGGCAGTGGGAGTCCCCTTTCAGGGTTGTGGACAGCCTATGGCGACCACTTGGAGGCTCAGCGTTCTTGTAACCCACTTGTAGGTGTAGCTATAACCCGTTTGTAAGCCCCTGAAGTAGCCTAACCTGGTGCTATTTGGGTGACAAGTACAGTTATAATTTGGTTACTAGGTACCCTGAACCTCCAACAAGCACCCCCCCCCATCAGCCGGCCTTGTGGCGTACCCCCGGTGAGCTCATTCGTCTCATCCACGTCCATTCAACCATGGCCATGGCGGCCGTGAGGCAGCCGGAGATTGTCGGGGGGGCTTTACGATACCCTAAACCTAAGCCCCAAACCCTAAACCCTAAACCCGAAACCCTGAACCCTGAACCCTAAACCCTAAAAACCCCTAAATGCGGTTTTGGGCTGAGGGCTTCATGAGGCTTAAGGGTAAGGCTCTGGGGTGGCTTCTGGGTTCGAGTTTCGGTTTTAGGGTTAGGGGGCTTCGGGTTTAGGGTTTAGGGTTTAGGGTTTAGGGTTTAGGGTTTAGGGTTTAGGGTTTAGGGTTTAGGGTTTAGGGTTTAGGGTTTAGGGTTTGGCTTCGGGCTTAGGGTTTAGGGCTTAAGCCCTGAAACCCTAAGCCTCGGGTCTGTTCAGCCTGCAACATTGAGTTGACACACCTCCACCATGCAAGGCTCGTCCCTAAGCTCAAGCTTTTCAACGAAGTGCTTCCCAAAACCCCAAACACCCATCCCCACACCCTAAACCCGAAACCCTAGACCTTAACCTTAAACCCCACTGTTTGAGTCGTTCGTAGTGCCAGTTGTTAAGTCCATTTACGATTTAGAGCTGTGGGGTTTAGGATCTAGATCTTCGCGATCCATCGATTTAGGGTCTAAGGCTTTGGGGGCAATGGCTGGATGAAGTGTTCCTGTCACTTAAGCCCTACTTGTTCTTACAACCCTCTTAGTTATGACCCATTGATAAGGCCCTGAAGTAGCCTAACCTGGTCATAATGAGTACAATCATAACTGGGAAACTAAGTACCATGAACCTCCAAGTAAAGCCTGAACCCGATTATTGACAGTCGAAGCCCCGAAGTGGCCCCGAAGTCATGATGAGGCCTTTTGGAGGCTTCAAGGGTTTCGGGATTGAACTGCGTTTGGGGCTCAGGGTCGTCAAGGTTTGGGGTTTGGGGTTTGGGGCTTTAGGAACAAGGAGTTCAAGTGCAGGGTTTAGGGTTTAGGGTTTACGGCTTAGGGTTTTTTTTTGGTTTTGTGTGTAGCCGGCCCTATCACCACAACCTCGACAAACTCCCGAAACACGCAAAAAACGCGATAGGAAGGAGACCCTAAACCCAAACTCCAAAAGCCTTAAACGCTGAACCCTTCAATCCCTGAGAGGCTTCGCATCCACCCGCAGACCCTAGTGAGAAGCCCGGACATCCTGGTTTTTGGGTTTACGGTTTAGGGTTTAGGGTTTAGGGTTTAGGGTTTAGGGTTTAGGGTTTAGGGTTTAGGGTTTAGGGTTTAGGGTTTAGGGTTTAGGGAGTCTTGAATGCTTCATCATCCTTGTGCATACTTAGGGTTTAAGGTTCAGAGTCTGGGGTTTAGGGGCCCTACACCCTGGACCCTAAACCCCAAACCCTAAACCCTAAACCCTAAACCCCAAACCCTAAACCCCAAACCCTAAACCCTAAACCCTAAACCCCAAACCCTAAACCCCAAACCCCAATCTGTGGCCGCTGCAGACATCCGCTCCATGCGCTGCGCCGGCGTCTCCTCGCGCTCCACCATCTCACGCTGCCAGGCCTGGTGAGGTTGCAGGTTGTAGGGTCTGGGGTTTTGGGGTTTGGGGTTTAGGGTTTAGGGTTTAGGGTTTAGGGTTTAGGGTTTAGGGTTTAGGGTTTAGGGTTTAGGGGTTGGGGGTTTGGGGTTGGGGTTGAGGAACACGCTTTCCTGCTTTGCCCCTTTTGCCATGCTCCAAGCTTGCACAGAGTAGCATCCCATGATCATAAACCCACAACCCCAAACCCTAGAACCCGAAAAAACCCCAAGTCTGAGGGTAGCCTCACGGTCCCTTGATACAGGCCCAGAAAAGGGCACCCCCTTGCATACCCCTGATATACCCAATACAACCCAAGGGCCCATACTGCAGAACCCGTCAAAGGAGGCAAGCACGAGCTGAGGCGTGAAACCTCAACAAGTGTCTTGCAGATACAGACCGTCTGTGGTCAGGCTTGGCTTTGCGAGCTGTGGAGAACATGACATTCAATTCGGGACGTTCCCCCCTTATACGAACAGTCCTTCATAGGGATTATTCTAGGGGGTGCTGCAATCTCTATTCAGACTGTTAGTATAAGGGGGAACATCCCAGCATTCAATCTACAAGCCCTGAGCCATAAACCCTAAAACCCCTTCAGACCCGAACCTCCACATCTCAACCCTACTTGGAGGTTCATGGGCACTAGAACCCCAATGATAACTGTACTTATAAGCCCCCTAACCCAGAGACTCCAATATCCCTTAATTAAGGATTCTACCTTAAATCATATTAGGGATCCGAATATAATTTATTAAGGTATATTCCTTAATTCAGGGATATTGGAGTCTCTGGGAAGTCGTCTAAGTAGGTCATAAGTAGCCTTATAAGTACCCATGAACCTCCAAGTAACGCTTCAAATCGAGACCCGTTGAGTTTTAATGAGTATCTCCCAGCTTCCCAGCTGGGCAGCTGAAGGTTGGGGTTTGGGGCTTCTGGTTCATCAGGAGATGCAACCTTTCATCCGCCTGAAAGAAAATCAACACCGCAACCCAAGACAATTTGGGGTTCAAGGTGTTAGGGTTTAGGGCTTAGGGCTGTTCAGGGCTTCAGCAACACGTAAGCCCAGAAGCCCACGGAATCAGTGGCTCGGTGCATTCTAAATAACCCTAAACCCTAAAACCCTGAACCCTAAACCCTAAACCCTAATCCCTACCAAGTCAAAAGGGCTTCCTGTTTTGGTCTCCTCTGCCGGCCGTCTCCCCGATCGCACAGCGCAGCGTCCGATGATCACAAGGACCTCTCTCGATCACGAGACGAGGCTTGCGGCTCCTAGCCCAAACTCCACGCCCTAGGGCCCTAAACCCTAAACCCTAAACCCTAAACCCTAAACCCTAAACCCTGGGGCTCTCCAACTTGCGCTTCTGCCCGCGCAGCTCGCGCGCTGTGCCCATCAGGAGCTCCATCATCGTCTCGGCCAGCTGCCTCAGCTCAAGGCCCCTAAACCCTAAACCCTAAACCCTAAACCCTAAACCCTAAACCCAAAACCCTAAACCCAAACCCTAAACCCTAAACCCCAAACCCTAAACCCTATACCCCGTAGGTCGCACCCCTTAAGGTGTTCTTTAGGGTTTTCGGTCCTACCCCGGAGGTCGTACCCCTTAAAGGCTTCTTTGGATTCTGAAAGCTTTGAAATGTTTAGGGCTTTAGGGCTTAGGGTTTAGGGTTTACGGTTTAGGGTTTAGGGTTTAGGGTTGTCATTGGCGGCGAAGGGCTTTCGGCTCTCCCTTTCTGGGTACAGTAGTGGGAGGATTCGAGCCTTAGTAAGTAGACATCAAGTCTAGGTTTGCGAAAAAGGATAGTTAAGTCCAAGTAGCGTCGCTTTTGGGACCTTCTAATAAATTTCGGCCACACATGTTGGCTTGGTGTCGAGGGTTTCGGATTCAGGGTTTGGGGTTCTGGCTAGCCCTAAACCCTAAACCCTAAACCCTAAACCCTAAACCCTAAACCCTAAACCCTAAACCCTAAACCCTACACACTTGGCATCGAGCACCGAAGCTCCCAACAGCTGTCCTTCACTGTCTTTCATTTACCCTCGCCCCACGTCGGCTGAACTAGATTCACCAAGACGCTAAACCCGGTAAAGCTTAAGGTTTGGGTTTCAGGTTTAAGGTTTAGGGCTCGGGGTTTAGGGCTTCGGGCTTAGGATTTCGGGCTAGGGTTTAGGGTTTGGGGCTAGGGTTTAGGGTTTCGGGTTTCGGGTTTCGGGTTTCGGCTGGAGGCTTGTGATTCTGAAGCCCGAGGAACGGGTTCTCTTTGATGATCTGCTTGATCCTCAGCTTCCCGGAGTTCAGCATGGGGGCCCTAAACCCTAAACCCTAAACCCTAAACCCTAAACCCTAAACCCTAAACCCTAAACCCTGAACTTGTTTTAGGGTGTAGGGTTGAGGCCTTGGGGCTTCGGGCTTAAGGTCGAGGGCTTAGGGTTTGGCGATTCGAGCTGGTTCGTAGAGGGAATGAGGGAATGAGGTACGCTGTAGAATCCCCTTATATGTACAGCCCTAATTCCCTCGTTCCCTATTAAGCACCAGGGGGTGATTGGGCGTTGGGGGCCAGAGTCTAGAGACCAGGAACCTCGCGCAATTAAGGGTCATATGTCGAGGCAAAACCCTCTCTCAACCCTAGGCCCTAGACCCTAGACCCTGAACCCTAAACCCTGAGCCGCAATGCTTGCAATCTAGGGTCTTCGGCTTCTGTCGCTCCAGAAGCTCGCACTCGTTGTCCTGCAACATATCCAGGCATTCCGCTTCCAAGCTTCCCCCGCTTCCGAGCGTCTGCGCCAAGAAAGTGAGCACATTGCCTTCGGACAGCACTCTCTCCAGGGCCGAATCGACCATGCTCACGAGATCTTTGAGACGGTACTGGTCCGCCAGGCGGCGCACTGCGAAAGCTTGGGCCACACCATCCCGCAAGCAGAAGGAGCCCCCCACCAGGAAGCGCAGCACGGCTGACATAGTTCGAGAGTTTGCATCGGGGTTGCTGCGCAGGTAATTCTCGTTGGTGCGACCTTCCTTCCAGCTGTCGTTCCCGAGCATCTCACCGAAATACTCCGACCTTGCAACCAGCAGGCGTCTGTCAAAGTAGATTCGAGATCCATCAGCCAAAATGAACGCGACCTGACAGAGCTCTTTAGACAAATCCAGCTCTCGGCAAAACGCAGGGCACGCTGGTTCTGGCTCAAAGGGAAAGCAGACCTGCAACTGCACCAAAATCTCCCCGGCTGGCTGACTCCAGCCTGCCTCAGGCGAAAAGAGCTGGGGAAGCAACAACATATCCTTGACCCCACAAGCCTTTCCACTTTCGAAATTGCCGTGGACCATTTTTTTCAGATGCTTCTCCGGGTGAACATTGAGGACAGTGAAAACACAGCGAAGTTTCCAGGATTGCCGGGTGGTTCCTTTCGGAGCATGAAGCACAGCAAACAAGCCTAGATGCTGCGATTCAATTGCGGTCCCTCGGGGATACGCTCTCATCTGAATGCGAATCTGCGATCGCGGCCCTACGAGACGAGATTCAACCGACTGGCACGCAGTGAACTTTGCCGCATCGGAGATCGCCATCTCCACCTCCTCTCGGCGTTCACGCAGCTCTTCCCGAGCCATCTCTGCCATGGCGGCTACGTGCGAGCTGAGGCGAGTAGTCTCAACAAGTGTCTTCCAGATAAAAACTATGCAGTCCGTCTCTGTCTGCTTGGCCCGCGAGAGCTGTGGAGAACGTGACATTCAACGAACCCTAGCCCTAAACCCTAAAACCTTTTAGACCTGATGATGGGCGTCGGGCTTAGTGTTTAGGGTCTGCATGGGGTTTAAGGTTTAGGGTTTAAGGTTCAGGGTTTAGGGTTCAGGGTTTGGGGTGTAGGGTTGAAGGTTTAGGGAACAGTGACCTCTTACAAGTTTTACGTGGATTAGACAGGGATACAGTCTTACATCCAGCTGAAGGAACCCTTGCCCTTACACCCTAACCCTGGCAGTGGCACCTTCCACTTTAGGCTTTCGGCTCTGGGATACAGTATTCAGGTTTAGGGTTTCGGGTCTGGGGTTTAGGGGGTTGAGGGTTTAGGGTTTAGGGTCAAAAGGGTTTAGCGTGGGTTTAGGGTCTGGGACGTAGTGTCCAAGGTCGAGGGTCGAGGGCTTAGGTTTGAAATGCCAAAGACGAAGCTACGTCGAAGTCTTCCAGTTCAGATTTCAGTTTAGGGCTGTGGCTTAGGCTTTAGGCTTTAGGATTTAGGCTTTAGGCTTTAGGCTTGAGGCTTGAGGCTTGAGGCTTGAGGCTTGAGGCTTGAGGCTTGAGGCTTGAGGCTTGAGGCTTGAGGCTTGAGGCTTGAGGCTTGAGGCTTTAGGCTTGAGGCTTTAGGCTTTAGGCTTTAGGCTTTAGGCTTTAGGCTTTAGGCTTTGGGCTTTAGGCTTAAGGCTTTAGGCTTGAGGCTTTAGGCTTTAGGCTTTAGGCTTTGTTGTTTAGGGTTTGGCGTTTAGAGTTGAGGGATTTGGGTTCTGGGACGCCTTGTGTGAGACATCAAGAGCGCAGATGAAAACAGCAGCCCGAAAGCCCTCAACCCTTGGGACCCTGAACAGCACCCACCAAGACCATTAAAGGCACTGAACACCGCTGAGACCGCTTTGAAAAGGCCCTAAACCCGAATTAAACTACACCAAAAACACAAGAAACTAAACCCCAAACACGTTACAGCCCGAAAGCCCCCGGACGATTACATGCCCTTATTTAACCTGAAAGGGTCTAGGGTGTAGGGTGGAGGGCTTAGCGGGATGTATTTAGGATTTTGGGGCTTAGGCTTTAGCACCCTTAATCGCTACTCCCTAAACCCTAAAACCCTAAGCCCCCCCCCCCCCCAAATCCCTAAGCCCTCGACCCTAACCCACAACATCTGCCTTCATCTCATCCGACAGTTTGTGGGCAAGCCGGAGGCGTCTGTCCTGCAAAAGGGTTTAGAACCCTAAACCCCAAACCCCCTAAACGCTTTCGTAAACCTAGGGTTAAGGGTTAGGGTTTTGAGTTTAGCCCCTAAACCCTAAACCCTAAACCCAAAACCCCAAAAGGCTGTAAGGGGCTTCAGGATCATAAGGGGCTCGAGGGTTTAGGGTGTCGAGTAAGGGATGTAGAGGTTTAGGGGCTTGGGGGCTTGGTGTGCGGACTCAGAGCCTGAGAGTTGCGGGTTCATGGCTACGTAATGCAGTACACCTTGGGGTTTAGGGTTTAGGGTTTGGGGTTTAGGGTTTGACCCTTTCTCCCGACCCTAGGCTCCAAACCCTTTCTCTCGTGACCAGGCCAAGGGGGGTCTCGAGGGACTTTGGAGCTCGAGTCTGCGCCTTTCATTTCCGAAGGCCTGCATACCCCTGAAGCGGCAGCCTTTTGGAGGTTTAGGGTTTAGGGTTTAGGGTTTAGGGTTCAGGGTTTAGGGTTTAGGGTTTAGGGTTTAGGGTTTAGGGTTTAGGGTTTAGGGTTTAGGGTTTAGGGTTTAGGGTTTAGGGTTTAGGGTTTAGGGTTTAGGGTTTAGGGGTTAGGGGTTAGGGTGTAGTTTAGGGTTTAGGGTGTAGGGTTTAGGGCTTAGGGTTTCTCATAAAAACCCTACAGAGCTCGCCTCTCGAACCCCGATACATTCCGAGCACCTGAAGGCTTAGGATTCAAGATTCAGGGTATAGGGTTTAAGGATTAGGGATTAGGGCTTTCGGGTTTAGAGTTTAAGACAAAGAAAACCCTGAACCCCGCCCCGACAAACCCAACCCCAAACCCTAAATCCTCCTAAGTCCTAAACCTTTTCACCTGTCTCTAGACTCTAGACTCGAAACCCCAAACCCTAAACCCCAAACCCCAAACCCTAAACCTTATATCCTAAACCCTAAACCCTAAACCCTAAACCCTAAAAACCCTAAACCCCTTCAAAAAGGCTCCTGGAGCTGGGCCTGCTGCTGCGACTGGAGTGCGGCCACCTCCAGTGAGCTTTAAGGGGCTCAGAGGGGTTTAGGGGGTTTAGGGTTTAGGGTTTAGGGGGAAGGTTTAGGGTTTAGGGTTTAGGGTTTAGGGTTTAGGGTCTAAGGGTTAGGGTTTAGGGTTTAGGGTTTAGGGTTTAGGGTTTAGGGTTTAGGGTTTAGGATTTAGGGTTTAGGGTTTAGGGTTTAGGGTTTAGGGTTTAGGGGTTTAGGGGTTTAGGGGTTTAGGGGTTTAGGGGTTTAGGGGTTTAGGGTTTAGGGTTTAGGGTTTAGGGTTTAGGGTTGAGGGTACATATAACCATATGGGGGGCACTTCAGGGCTTGTAAGCGGGTTATAAGTGCAGTTTTCATTGGTTAATAAGTACCATGGACCTCCAAGTAGTGTATAA